TTCACTTTAAGTGGGTAACGTTGAAATATTAAGGTTATTTGTTTATTCATTAAATTTGTATGCTGCCCATCTCTGCTCATCTGAGTCACCAACTGACTCAGTTATATTATCTTACTCAGCAGATCTTTAAAAATTTATACACATTTCAGTGGGCTATATAAAAATATCCAGTTCTATTACTATTATCAATATATGTTCAGAACCATTTCCTCCAATCAATTTTTTTTACTGAATAAACAATTTTCCCAATTCTTCTTAAACATGATTGCAGATATGTGGCCCAATATGAGGTGGAGGACCATAATGAGGGACCCTGATCTTGAAGTGTATGCAAATGAAATGGACCAAAAAATGAAAAAGAAATTAAAAGAAATCTTATTCTATTGATTAAGATTAAGAAAAGAAATGTAGGAGATGGCAAAGCTGAGACACAGGGAAGGGTCAAATGCATTATCAGTCTCAAGTCCCTTCATGTCCACAAGAGATCTAAATCTAGCCCACCTACTGTCAACTCACTTTAATCACTAGTAGTTCATTAGTAGGTTCTTGTAGAGCAGAACCGCGACCCCATAATACAGTTCCCCATGTTGTGGTGACTCCCAACCACTTATACATCACCGGGTGCCAGGGGCGTGGTCAAAAAAAGGGGGAAAAATGGCTGACAGCCTTGTTTGGCGACCCCTGTGAAATGGTCGTTCGACCCCAAATGGGGTCCCGACCCACAGGTTGAGAACCACTGTTGTAGAGAGCTTTAGCATACAATAAGCCTATATAGTCTTTGAACTGCTTGGACTTCTGATTTCCTGTTCTTGACAGGAACTGGAATTGGCAGTAATGAACAACTAATCACAGTACATTAAACACAAGCTCTGTAAATACAGGGTCAGTAAGGACTTCAAGACAAGCTGCCATGGGGAGTTTGCATTGATTGCAATCAAATCCTGCTGTTCTTTGGCACTGATCACATTCAATTCTATTGAAGCAGCCCAACCAAGCAGAAAATAATCAATACACAAATTTTTTCCTCTTTTACAAAGTTCATTTATTCCCCACTATGGAATGTTAAACTCACTTTCAATTCAAAATATCAATGGATTTCATAAATGTTGGTTATCTTGTATTTAAATAATCTTCAGATGCAGCAGACAAGTTAGATTGATGAAGTTGGTGGACATTTATAAGTAAATGGGTATAGAGCTGATCTTAAATTACATCAACATGAATGTGTTGCAAAATTCATCTATAACCAGTGAACATTTCTTAGGAGACAAAGAAGGGTGTGTGGTTCTTCCAGTGGGGATATAGTTACAGCTACCTATTGAGCCCCACCCATCCTTCCTGTTTGCATTGGAAATTTTGGAGTCATGTGATGATCCCTTGTATTTTCTATGAATTACTGTACATTCCACTTGTAACTAAGATACCTGTGCAAAAGAAAGGGAAGAAGCAGCAAAGACCATTTATTCATGATTCGTAAAGTCTTAGATGGCAGATTTTACACGTATTCCTACAGCTATTTTGCCTATTAAGCGTGTTCTCAAAATCCCAGATGTGGTTACTAGCCCAAAAAGCTGCTGTCTCTGGTTTAGCATGTTCTGTAAGCACAATTAATATCTAAAGTTTTTAATGACCATTAAATCACTCAGCAAACGTATTTTAATGAAGCAATACTGGACCAAATTTGCTTGTAAACATTATACATTTAATTTTTTGCATACACAGGGGATTTTGTCCTTTCCCTTGTTGAATTGCACTTGATATAAAATCTACTTATTTCCAGTTTTGAGCCATTATGGAAGAGGAACAAGCATTACTGCATGAGACTGAGACGACTGAGACTGATCTGAAACAAAACATGGCAGATTGCAAGAATGTTATGGAAAACAATATACAAACAAAACCTTAATAATTAAAAGAGGTAAATAAGCAACAAACCAAAAGAGTGCCTTATATAACTTTCCTATATTGGATTTACAAAAGCTTAAAGCTTTGAAGAATTTTTCTGAGAAGGGACAAAGAAAAAATGAAAAGAAAGTTCTAGGACATTATTTGAAGGGATTAAAGATTAACATTCTTAAAAGTAAAAGAAAGGACTAAAAAGTTGGTATATTTCTTCAAGGCCAGAGTAGAAGTGTTGTTATCTGAAAAGATAACAGGACTGATCAGGACTGAATGAGAAGGCTTTAAAGGATTTGTTTATAGATAAGAGATGGGACATATAAAGAAGAGATCATTTGTCGCATTTTAAGACAAGATGGTAAAAGTTACTAAAATTGGTTATATTTGTGATGAAGAAGAAGTCATTTCTTTATATGTTTTTTCTTTTTTTTACCATAATCTTAATTTTTGTCTATTTTCTATCCCGCCTTCCATTTTTACATTTCTGCACTATCTTTCTTTTTATTCTTTATTTTTTTTAGCTTATATTAGTTTTTATCTTTTTAATTGTAATGTTTAATCAAATTAATATTAAAAAAATACAAATCAATCTTGTTTCCAATTGAAAAGAATACCTAGGGTGCCATCACTGAGAAGCCATGACCCATGAGATGACATTGTTTAATAGAAGAGACCTGGAGCAGGTCCTCTCTTATAGTGGGTGGGCATAAACAATAGGAGAAGGTGGTCCCACAAGTAGCCTGGCCTTATGACTCTGAGAGCTTTATAGATGATCATCACCACCTTGAATTGCACCCAAAAGATTATCTGGAGCCAAATTCAATCAGAAGGTGCTAAGGTAGGAGACACCATGATCAAGGCCTCCTAGTCCTGGCAGGGGTATAATTGGTACACAAGAAGAACCTGTGCAAAAACATTTCTGTCCATGGCTGTCACCTATTCACTGAGCAGGAGCTGAAATTCCAAGAAGACCCCCAGCTTGTACACCAGGTTTAACCCAAAGAAGAGAAGGTTATGAGATGGTATGAAAGCAGTCTTTCAAAATTTAAGGGATTGTTACAGAAAGGAAGATGTAGATTTATTATCCTGAAGACAGGACAGGACCTGGGTAAGAGATTAGGAAGAACCATTGGTTAGAGCAGTGGTTCTCAACCTTTTTAATGCCGCGACCCCAACCGGTCGTAAGTCGAGGACTACTCAACCGGTCGTAAGTCGAGGACTACTCAACTGGTGCAGCACCCTTTGCAGAATGGACTTTTGGCGGGCTCAGCAGGGCAGAGACAGCCTGGACAATTCCTATTGGCTTTTGAAAGCCAATAGAATTAGACTCTATTCAAGAGAGTCTATTCTATTGGCTTTCAAAAGCGAATAGAATAAAAGGGAGTAGCACAGCTAAGGAAAAGGGGAAAAAAATGGCGGACTGTGTTATTTGGCGACCCCCGTGAAATGGTTATTCGACCCCAAATGGGGTCCCGACCCACAGGTTGAGAACCACTGGGTTAGAGGCTTTGCAGCCTGTCTCCTGGAATCATATTATGCCAGGTTTTCAAACCAAGGTTGTTTGGGCAGTTGGACTAGAAGATTTCCAAAGCAATAGATTCCCAAGAGAATATGGGATACTCAAAGACAACATCATTTCTTGACTACAAAGCTAATTGCAAAAGGAGTAAATTTTAGATGGCTGATGCCAGAAGGGATTTAATCAATTGGAATAATACAAGATATTGTTTGGACTCAGTGTGGAAGGCAGAGGATTTTGATGAAAGATATAGAGCATTTCTGGGAGAAAGAATACAATATCAACAAGAGGATGGAAAAAGCCAGAAATAGACAGAACAAAAAAATAGAGGAAACAATTACACAGGTGGAAGAAGAAAAAGAGAAGATGAATCAAGAAGATGAGGGAATAGTAAAAGAGCAGAGGATTACGAGATCAACAAGACCTAAATATAAGTAAACCAAAATGGAGAAGGAAAATGGAATTTTTTTCAGTGAATATAAATTAATTGAATTCCCCATCAAAAAGGAAAAGAATTTTCAAACAATTACAGAAATTAAACATTGATATAATTTGTTTTCAAGAGACACCCATAAAAAAACAACATCATAAATTTTTGGAAAATCCAAAACTTGTAAAATTTTATTATATATCAGCTCAAAAAAAAAAAAAAGAAGAGGAGTAGTTATATATGTCAAAGAGACGATCAATTCCAAAATGATTTATGCAGATGAAGAAGGAAGAATATTAATAGTAGAAATATTTTAAAATAAAAAACAGATACTTTTGATAGCAATATACGCACCAAATAATAAACAAGAATAATTTTATCAAAACCTTCACAGAAAAATAGTAGAAATGGAATATCAAAATATATGCTTACTTGGGGATTTCAATGCAATAGTATATGGGACATTAGAATATAAAAGCAGTAAATTGGGGAAACAAGGAAGAAAAAGATTACCTAAGACTTTTTTTCAGTATGATAGAGAAAATTGGTATACAAGATATCTGGAGAGAAACGAACCCAGGAAAATCACGATAAACATTTTATTCTAATAGTCATAAATCTTGGTCCAGAATTGATATGAATTGGATGACGCCTGAATTAAGGGCTAGCATGCAGGAAATTGAAATAGAGTTAGGTACTTGGGCAGATCATAACCTTCTAAAAATGGTGTGGAAAGGAATGCAGAAAAAATTAAGAAGGGCTTTGAATCAATCTATATTAAAAGAGAAAGAATATATAGGCTTAACAACAAAAGAAATGGAATTTTTCTTCAAAAAAAATAAAAAAGAAGATACAACATTGCAAAATGTATGGGATACAGCCAAAGCATATTTTCGAGGTATAGCAATAGCATACATGGCGAAAAAAAATAAAGAAAAAAAACAACAATGTCAGTTGTTAAAAGAAGAATTAAAAAAATTAGAATTTGAACTACAAATAAACCCACAAAAGAAAATACTGAAAAGACAAATGGAAATAGTAAAACATAAATTAAATGTAATAGAATCAGAAAAACTGGCACAACAAATTAAAAGGGCAAAACAAAACTTTTTTTGAAAATGCAAACAAACCAGGAAGATGGTTAGCTTATAAACTTAAAAAACAGAAGGAGAAAAAATTGATAAACAATTTAGTAGATGAAAAAGGCTGTTTACAATTTAAAAATGAAGAAATAAAAAAGATAATTAAAGAATACTATGAGAAACTATATGACAAGTAAGAAACCCCATGGGAGAAAATGACAGCATCTATTCAACCATACTTCAGTTGGGAGAAATGAATTATGTTAAATGCTGACAACTCACAACATGATTAAAGGCTGGCACAAGAGTATTCAGAAGTTCTTTGGATTGCATTTCTTCAAAACAGAAAATTGGTGTTTCACTATAATTTGCATAAAGGTCTCCTCCCTTTTAAACAATGTATAATTTCCTGATACCAGCAGCAGATTACTGAGTGCATTGTAAGAGACTGCACACCAATTTTTTTAAAAAGGAACAATCTCATTTGAACTGAACTCAGCATCTAGTTGGTTTAGAAGTGTCCTGCCATTGCCTTCTTTTGACTTTTAACTAATGAAAAAAGGAGTATCTTGACTAGACGGTAAGTTTATTGAAGATGTGAACATATCATTGCTATTTTCTGGAATGCTCTATAATTGCATTTGAATTTATACTTTTGAAACAAGTCTTTTTAATATGTGTGTCCAGTACTAAAAACATATTATTTAGGATTTAACAAACTCTTTTCTCTGTGTTTCTGTGTACAGGTTTGTAAAATGAATTCGAAAGTAATTTATTCTGTCATAGCAATATGCCTCACCATCATTATCATCTTAGTTTTGGTTTTCCGAAATAGAGGAGAAAAACCAGTGGGTTGTCAGAGCTCTTCCAGGGGGCAAGAGGAAAGCAGTCAGGATGCTGCCAGCCAGGTATTTCAAGATTTAACTCCAGAAGAGATGATGCAAGTAAAAAAGTATTTACAATCCAGCCTGGGAGTGAGACTGGTAGATGCGTCAAAAGCCAAGCCATCAGACAACTGCATCTATTCCATCACCTTGCAACTGCCCCCCAAAGCAGCAGTGCTACAATTCCTAGATTATCAAGAGGTTAAGCCTGCACGGGAAGCTCTTGTTGTGGTTCATTTTGGAAATCAGCCAGTCCCAAATGTCACTGAATTTGTAGTAGGTCCTCTTCCAAAGCCAGAGTATCATCAAGATATTACATTGCCGAAATATGGAAAAATGTTGCCTTATTTCCAAAGGATGCCTTTGATAAATGATGTGGTTAAAATATATAAAATGTTGCTGCTGAAGGAATATTTCAAGGCCCCAAATTTCATGAGAAAAGCCCTTAATTATCCAGCAAAAATTTTCATGTTCAATTTTGCACTGCCAGGGCTAAAATCAGGAGATCGCAAAATCTGGCTAAATCACTTACAATACACTCCTGGCAGCTATTTGCATCCAGTTGGATTAGAGATCCAAGTGGACATTAGCAGCCTGGATCATTCTCAGTGGAACGTGGTAAACGTATTTTATAATGGGCAATATTTTGAGGACATGAAAGATATCGAAAAACAATTCAACATGGGAAAGGTTAAAGTAAACAAAGTTAAAACACCCCCCCTTGATGGGGGATACTCATCACTGAAGCAGAGAGTCCCACCACAAGAACCAAGTCCTTTGCATTATGAACCTCGTGGACCACGATATAGAATTCAGAATAACCATGTTACCTTCATGGACTGGAGTTTGGCTTTTGGAATTGATGTCTACAGAGGACCACGTATGTTTGATGTCAGATTTAGAGGAGAGAGAATAATCTATGAGTTAAGTTTACAAGATGCAAGTATTTTCTATGGCTCCAATAGTCCTACAATGATGTCTATCAGATCCATGGACATGGTCTTTGGATTTGGGTCTAGAATGTTCACACTTACCCAAGGGGTGGATTGCCCCTACCTGGCTACTTACCTGGATGTACACACTTTTCTTGATACTTCATCCCCTAAGACTCATAAAAAGGCCATGTGCATCTTTGAACAGAATTCTGAGTTGCCTCTGAGACGTCATTTTGAAAACATCCAGTCTCCATTTTATGGAGGGTTGTCTGACTCATGTCTGGTTATCAGATTCATATCTGCACTTGGCAACTATAACTATATCTGGAACTTTGCTTTTCATCAAAATGGAGCTGTTGGTGTCCATGTTATTGCCAGTGGATACATTCTAACTGCTTTTTACTTTGATGATGCTGAAAACTTTGGTAACAGAGTCCAAGAGTGGGCATCAGGATCAATTCACACCCACAATATTAATTTCAAACTGGATATGGACATTGGTGGTGAGTGGCAGCTTACTTTGTGATATTTTAAAAACTCCAGTGATTTCTAAGCCTGACATGACTTATTGTACAGTGGTTCTTTGGGATGGATGTGATTTTGATTATGAGGAAGTGAGAAAAGTCTCATGCTTCAGTTTGAATTGACAACATTATCTGCATCTAACCATCTTTTTAAGACTTGAGAGTTAGTGAGGCAGCATATTCCATGTGTTTTTCTATCTCTCTAGCGCAGTGGTTCTCAACCTTCCTAATGCCGCGACCCTTTAATACAGTTCCTCATGGTGACCCCCAACCATAAAATTATTCCAGGGTAATGTGATCACCTTTTGCAACCTTTGCAAGCAAAGTTAGTGGGGAAACCAGATTTACTGAACAACCATGTTACTAATTTAATCTCTCTCACTCTTTCTTTCTCTCTCCCTCTCTTTCTCTCTCTTCTCCCTTTCTCATTCTCTCTCTCCCTTTTTTCTCCCTCCCTGTCTCTCTTTCTCTCTCCCTCTTTCTCTCCCTTGTTCTCCCTTTCTTTCTCTCTCTCCCTGTCTCCCTTTCTCTCTCTTTCTCTCTCTCTCTCTCCTTCTCTTTCTCTCTCTCTCTCTCCCTCTTGTTTCCTTCTCTTCCTCTCTCCCTCTTTTTCCCTCTCCTCTCTCTCTCCCTCTCTCTTTCTCTCTCTCCCTCTCTCTATTTCTCTTTCCCTCTTTTCTCCCTCTCTCTATTTGTCTCTCCCTCTCAAAGATCCTTAAAATCCTTAAAAGTTATGCTTGGGTGGAAGACTTTTTTTTTACAGATGGGGCAGATGTGGCCGACATTCACGGGCAGGCAGGACCCCGCCTGCCGAGCCGCCGCCTCCCCATCTCCCTCCATGCTAGCCAGCTCCCTTACCAGACCTCCCAGCTGACAAGCACAAGTTTGGGGGTCGCCAGCTGACAGGCGCAGAATTCAGCGCTGTGGCGGCCTCCCCTTCGCCTTCTCACCGGCCAAAGCATTGCCAGACATTCCACCTGGCGGGCGCAGGAGGTTGGTGCCGCAGCAGTCTCCCAGCCGCCTGCTTCTTAGGCTGGAGTAGTTGCCAGGCCTTGCATGGTCACTGGCAGCGGGGAGCGAGTCAGCGGCCATTGGGGACCATGCCAGCAGTCCTGTGCCATGGAGTCTTGAGGCACAGAGGTGCAGGACGCGGAGCGGCACGGTGCCATGGAAGGCAGCAAGACAGGGGGGAGGGGTTACCTGCATCCTCTGTGTGAGAAAAACTTTTGCGGTGCAAATCTGAAACCAGGTGTTCCTGAGAGGTAGCGCAGGAGGTCCTTGGAAAAGGGAAGTACAAGCTTGGCGTTTCCTCTCTCCCAATCCCCTTCCTCTTCTTCACCTCTTCTTCTCCCAATCCCCTTCCTCTTCTTCACCCCAGCCTCCCTCTGATCTGAGCTCGCGGCTCCATGGCTTTTCTTTCCAGATCTTTTACTGCCTTAGTAACCTCCTCTGAACTTGCTCAAATTTATTATTTTACTTTTTGAATTATTGGGCCCCTAACTGATGGTGTCTGACCAGGGAAAAAGAAGATAAACAATTATTTCTTATGTTTTGGAGCCCATGCTCCTGTAATGCACCCCAAGATAGCATTTGGCTTTTTAATGTCTGCATCATAATGCTGGCTTAGGGCTAACTTGTGGTTAACAAGAATACCCAGATCCCTTTCACAAGTACTAATGCCAAGCCTGCTCCTCTCCATTCTACCCTTGTACCATAGAATTATGCTAGCTAGATGCAGAACTTTACATTTCTCTATATTCACCTATTCCCCTTTCCCTACTGCTTGAAACAGTCTAGAGCTCTTTGACTTTTCCTTTATTTAACATGTTAGCATCTGTGAAATAATAAAAACTGAACAAGAAAAACTCCTAGTATTTCTTGAAGAAAAAGTGAAGTGAAAATACATTTTTGCCTTCTGAATTATCTTCAATTCTCCTTTCTTAATATTCTTTTATATAGATTCTCCTCTAGAACCCTGTACAATTTGAGGCCAAAGTGACACTACTCAGTCAATTACCTGTTTTACGAGTTCATTTTCTCTTTGAAGAATAACATTTTAAAGAAACTCAACAAAAATCATCTCCCTAGAATATCTTATTTCTGCCTCCAAATTAATTTTTTTCATTGAAAGTGCCAGACTGTGAAAAAAGAGAGGTGAAATAGTTTAGAATGAATGAGGGTGGATAAGGGTCCGCTGAGTTTGTATATACAGTAATAATGCTAATCCCATTGTGCCATTGTACACGTACAAAATTTTACCCTTCTAATACTGTCAGAAATGAAGAAGACTAACCATAGATTAACGTGTCTCTCCTCCTACAATATTTGAAATAGAATGGTAATTAAATAAGGCCAAACCATTATCTTCAACTTTATTAATCTTTTATCTTTATGTTATTTTGACAACCTGCTATTTAATGTTTGTGCTGCTTTAAATTAGCATCTACAGTTTCCCACAATGACCTTAGATTTGTTCATATTCATGTTGAAAATCAAACTATATACAGTATATAATCTTATCATAACTGCATTTTTGTGTCACTCTGTAGAAAACTTTAAGAAGCTGAAAAGTGCAGCAGGAGCAATCTGATCTATGCTGCTAATCAAAAACTAATGGATGTATTTGCTTTCCTTCTGAGGTGTGGGCAATATGCTGGTTGGCAATGACATGACCTTTGAGACACTGCAGGCCCCTTGGAGCCCAGAACATAAGATCTATCGAATGAAGAAGGTGAGCAAAGTTTTCAATACTGAGAACCAAGCTGCATTCCGCCTCCATGATGCCATGCCCAAGTACATTTATTTTGCTGCCAATGACAGCAGCAATAAGTGGGGCCATGAAAAAGGCTACCGGATTCAGATAGTCAGCTTTTCTGGAGACCATCTATCAGAATCTGATCCATTGGAGTCAGCCTTCAGTTGGGGCAGGTAAGCCAACAATTTCTATCAATCAAAACTTCTCAGACTGATGACTATTGCCTTGTAATAGTATAAAATGCATTCTGGGTTCTTCTGGGTTATACTGAAGCTGTTGATAGTGCTAAGAATGTTTGGGTAATGATTTACTCTTCCCCAAGAAATGTAGCTACAGAACATGTAAAGATCTCACTTAACAATGGTGACTGAGACCAGAATTCCCATCACTAAGCGAGATGATTGTAAAAAGTAATGTCATGTTACTGCATTGCTTAGCAATGGCAATCCCAGCAGTCCCCATTGCCACTATCAAGCAAGAATGCAGCCTGTTAAGCAGGGAGGTCCGTGAGAAATTGCAATTTTCAGGTAGCTCACAAGCCGGTTGGTACGTAGGTAGGTAAGTGGCTGCTTCTAGGTGTAGAAAGTGCATGAATGTGTGCAGGTAGCTGGTGCAGTGTGAGTGTAATGGGACTGGGAAGGCTGCTGCCTAGTGGGGGAGACTTACCAAAGTAACTCATGACTTTCCCTACCAGCTTCTCAATTGACTCTGCTGGAGGAGGCTGGCAGGGTAGTTGTAAATGGGGATAATTTGATTGTAGGATGCTGCAACTGTTGTAAATGTGAGCTGGTAACTAAGAGTGCAGATTGCAATCATGTGACTGTGAGGGTGCCGGAATTTCAAGGATCAGTAGTTAAGTAGTACTTATTCAACACTATTATAACTTTGAATAGTCACTGAACCAGGGATTGTTAACGAAGAACTACCTGTAAAGGTCCACTAGACAATTCATAACAACTTTTGTTTGGTTTCCTCTAAACTTATAATCCCTATATCTCTCCAAGACTATTTGTACTTCTTTTTATTAATCTTTGGGATGGAGCAAGCGGCATTTACCAAGTCTGGGATATTTGAGTTGGGACTTAGCAATTGTGTAGCTATGTGAAAAGAGAAATTGGAAGACTATGATCCAGTTTTCAAATCTAGTTTGAGGGTTCTGACTGTCCATAGCTTAGGTTACTATTTTAAATAGACATTACAACATGGTCTACTGAAAGCAGTTGATCATGCCCTAATTTGCTTTCTGTAATACAGCACACATAGGGTTACTCTTAAAAAAAAATTGATTAGAAATAACACCACCATCACCCCATTAGTTCATTACATGCATACTTGTATCGGTTACTAGGGCATTTCTTGGTACAAAGTGCTCATATTAACATTTACAATACTAAAAGGCTTGGGGTCAGTATATGTAAATAATTGCCTTTGCCACGATGAATTCAGACGATTTGTTAATATATGATCAACTGATAAGCCTTATGATGAAATAAATTGAGATAGGCACAAGAGAAAGGCACTTTTCAACAGTGGGCCCCTTGTTTATGAAGCTTCCTTCTACAATTATACATGATGATTTCAGTTCAGATCTTCACAAAATTCTGGGAAACTCACTTGTCCCTGTTTATTTTGTTAGAATTTTGTTTCATTGATTATGATTATGAAAGATGGTCTTCTACCTATGACCACAATTAAACCAAAATTTTCTGTTGCTAGACAAGACAGTTGTTAAGTGAGTTTTGCCCCATTTTATGATCTTTTTGCCACAGTTGTTAAGTGAATCACTGCAGTTGTTAAGTAAATCATTTGGTCATTAAGCAAATTTGGCTTCTCCCATTGACTTTGCTTGTCAGAAGCTGGCTGGAAAGGTTACAGATGGTGATCACATGGTCCTGAGACACCACAGCTGTCATAAATATATGCCAGTTGCCAAGTGTCTGAATTTTGATAACGGGGATGCTGCAATGGTTGTAAGTATGAAAATTGGTCATAAGTCACTTTTTTTAGTAGTATTATAACTATGAAAAGTAACTATACAAATGGTTATAAATCAAGGGCTATCTGTATTATATTCCTTCAGTTTGAGGCTTCAAATTTCTCTTACAATACCGTATATGCCGGCGTATAAGGCGACTTCCGCAAGCGTTAAAATCGGCGCCAAAGACGGGGGTAGTCTTATACACCGAGTCGTTTTATACGCCGGAAATACTGGTAGTTTCCGGCGTATAAGACGAAGTTCTAGGAATGCAACTCAGCGACAAAGACGGGGGTCGTCTTATACGCCGGGTCGCCTTGTACGCCGGCATATACGGGTAATTGTATCCTGTCTTTCCATGCTGCCTTCCTGTGGCCATATATGAAATCGTAGCCTGTGTACTTTTAAAAGAAAATAAATAATAAGCCCAATTTCCCACAATGTCACTGTGGCTTTGCTTTTCAGGTACAAGTTAGCTGTCACAAAGCGGAAGGAGGAGGAGCCGACCAGTAACAGTGTCTACAGCCAAATGGATCCATGGGATCCTCCTGTTGCCTTTTCTGACTTCATAAACAATGAGACCATTGTCAATGAGGTGAGTCATGAGGATCCAACATAGTAAGGAAAACTGTTTTTCCTCTCTACAGTTTTATTGGTTTTTCCACTGTCAGAGGCCAGAGCAACTAAAAATGGAATCTCAATATATCTGGAAGAACAGATATCAGGATGGAAAAGAGACCAAAAATCACTCAGAAGTTGGGCAAATGCTATGAATGGTTTTAATGGTATGTGGGAAAGATGGGGCAAAGAGATGCTGCCTAAGGAGTGAGAGTGTCCCTTGTGCCCAACGTAAAGCTGGGAGTTTGCAACTGAAGCCTCTCTATTCCCCTCCCCTAGCAGCATTGCTTATAAGCAGTGCAAGCTTACCCACCTCCTTCCTCCAAAGCTGAAGAAGAGAAAGTCCCTTCTGAGCCTCTTGCCCTACCCACTGTCCCAGCTGCTGGCTGTGCTGTCTCTTATTTGATCATTCCCTAGGCAGCATCTCTTTGACTCATCTCTCAAGGCCTTCCCACATACCATTACAATGGGTGTTTTTATTGAATGAAGCATTTGCATGAACTACCCTGGGAAGCAATGACTCAGTGATTAAAGACCCTGAGCTTGTCAACTGGAAAACTGACAGGCCGGGTTAGAGACCCAAGCACTGTGCAATGGAGTGAGTTCCCATTCCTTGTTCTAGCTCCTGCCCTCCTAGCAGTTCAAAAGCATGCATATGTGAGCAGATAAATAAGTACCACTTTGGTAGGAAAGTAACATTGTTCCATGTGCCTTTGGCATATAACCATGCTGGCCACATAATCACAGAAAATGTCAGACAATGCTGCCTCTCTCGGCCAAGAAACAGAGATGAGCACACTGTGTCCTAGAGTTGGACATGACTGAAAAGAGAAACTTTTACCTTTTTATGAGCTATCCCTCAAACATTTTCAAAGCTGTTTACAATGAAATATAAACAAATAAAATGATTAGGTTAGAAAAATTGTCAGCAGCATTCTCCGGTGTGAAGAGACCATACTTAAACCATAAACACTGCAAAAAATGATTTAGTCTCTAGCAGAAATAAACAAGAGATAAAAAACAGCTTTATTTTTTTTAAAAAAATAAAACAATGGTTTAGTTTAGAAAAAGAAATGGCTCATAAGTTTTAAAATTGCCTTCTTTTAAGTTATGTAGTTATAATTATCCCTTGTTTATAAAACCACCCTGTAATTAATTCTTTTTATGCTAGAGAATAATTATGCTGTATAATAATGATCTGCTACTATTACCCAACAAAAGATATAGTCATTGTAAGTGAGATGGGAAGCTATACAAATACGATAACCAAACAAACAGTCCTGAAGAGATGAATCTTTGAAATCCAGTTTGGAAAATTCATTTTGCAGCTGTTCTAAAATGACAATCAATTCAAAAGGTTAGATTATCTCTGAAGACAGATTGGGCAAAGAAATGCATTACAAGATAAACATATTTTAAAACAATTTTATGATATTTTTAACACAAATGCAAAGAGAGCATTTTCAGTGAAAAACCAGGGGCAAAGAGTACTGGAATTTTTTTTCACTATCAATTTGTAAAACATCATGTATCTTTTTTCTCTACCCCACCCACTTCTAATAAATTAAATTTCAATACTGGAAATAATTCTGACAGGAATAGAGTCATAATCTTTGGGAAATTTGCTTAGAGGCAAATTGGCTGTTTCCGATTTTCCAGCATAGATGCTACCCTTCCTACCTCCATTCACCTCAAACCATACTAAGATTATTATGAGCTTATTTATTTTAAAATTATCATGAGCTGGATTCATATTTGTCATTAAACAAAATTGCTTTTTAGTATCATTCCTATTGTGGATGAAAAAAGGAAGACTCTCCTCAGATTTGCAATGATCACTACATCCTTACCTCTGAGAAGAATATTGTACTATCACATTGTTCCTTTAGGGCTATTAGATCATAGTCACATCTTTCAGCAACCTCTGAATCTTACCGAGTCAGTTCTTCCTTCCTGTGTTAGCTCAGCACTTAACAGGATTTTAAAAATTATTTATTATTTCTCTTTCACAGGATCTGGTTGCCTGGATCAATGCTGGCTTTTTGCATATTCCACATGCTGAAGATGTGCCCAACACTGCAACCCTTGGGAATGTGGTTGGTTTCTTCTTGAAACCATACAATTATTTTGATGATGACCCTTCCATGTTTTCTCCAGACAGTGTTTACTTCAACAGCCTGCAGGACCCCCTTTCCTGTGAGGTCAACCAACTTGCATGTCTGGCAAAAATAGCTTCATGTTTGCCCACTTTCCCCTCTTTCACTTATGAGGGCTTTAAAAACTTAACAACTTTCTAATATCTTCTAGTTTTTGATAGATGGATGCAGGAAAGGTCAATTGGAAACTAATGTAACATATATAAGACAAGCAGCTTCTAATCCTGAAGAGTATCTTATGGTGTCTTAGAAACATGACTCTAATGTTGTACTTGCAATGTTGTATGCATTTATGAGTTTTTCTGAATACATTTCTATAAAAAAACCCTGTGAATATATAACAATATGCTGACTCTGTAAACTGCTTAGAGAGGGCTGTAAACTTTGTGAAGCGGTATGTAAGTCTAAGGACTATTGCTAAGTACTGTAACTTTCCAAAGTGTTGAGAGCCAGAACTGTCAGAAATAAGGAAAAGATACCATTGTCAAATCAGACTTCTGGCAACTGGATCCCTACAATTTTCTTAATATGTTCATGAAAGTGATTTCCTATTGCCACTCATGGAATATCCTTTTCTTTTTTATAACTTCCCAGTCTAGCCTACAATCCAGGAATCCCCAGTCTGTTTCCCCTTATTTTTATTAATCAGGGCCAATCTTGTTTAGCTTCAGCCAGGAGCTGATTTTGTCAGAATTAATATATTTTCAAGACTAATTTCTAACTCAAATATAAACATGCCATATGAAGATGCCTGCTTGCTCTTTTGGAACTATCTGGGACTGCCTATGAAGCAAAAGCTGAAGTCTAACATTGAAAGAGAGCATAAACCATAAACCGGATTTCTTCTCTGCTTTATCTTTTCTGTGAGTGATGTTCCTTCTAAGTTGAATTCTGGATCACGGTGTAGGCATGTTCCTCTGCATAGGTATACAGACTCTTCTCATGATACATCTGCAGAAATCTCATTTTACAGAGAATTTATTATTCTTCCTTGCTGCATTGTGAACTTCCCACTATGCAGAAATCAATTTTCTTAAAAGAGCGAACTAATATTTGTATTGGGGAATCCCAAGCTCCATTTTTTGAAGGAAGAACTGTGAACAAGGACATAGTGCAGTGAACAAAACTTTATCCAACTGAACATTGACCCATTATAATTCAATAAAACCACATGGTTTTTAAATGGTAAAATACATGTTTAAAGGCAGTATAATATGATTGACAGTACGTCTGGAGGAATACAAAAATGAAAATGCAAATTTAAATTTAATTGGCATAATTTTATTGACTTCATAGAAAAAAGTATAAATAAAATGGACAGAGGTGCTATGAATTGCTGAGTAAGAATATTTAGTAGAGGTACCACCAAATCAAAGAAGATCAAGGATGGATTTTGCCTTATGTGGTTGCTAAGACTCAACAAAGAGCCTTAGTAAGAGGAATTTTCAGATTAAAGCTGTAGCTCCAGAGCTGACAAAATTATGTTCTTTAAGCTGTTGAAACAGACCAGAGTAGAAATTAAAGTGCACGTTTTTTAGCGTGAAAGACTATGGACTCAATATTCCATGGAGGAAAACAACCACTAAAAATAAGTGGATAAACATATTGTGGAAGGTACATGTTTAGGGAACCCAAGAACCAAAACTTAAGACCTACACTGGGATTCAGAGAAGAACAGAGATAGCCCTTTAACTTTGAATTCCTTCAGAACAAAAGGGTCAAACTGCCCATGCTTATTGAAAAGATGACAAACTTAATAAGAAATTAAAATTCTCTGGATGGGTCCAGAAAGGGAAGGCGAAAAAAAAAAAAAAATCCCTGAGTATTTAAATTTTTGAGGTTGTTTTATGGGTTAACCCTAATGCAAAGATGACTTAGCTATGTTAATTTTGGAGTAGGAAAATCCTTGGAACAATAATCTAGAAATACAGGTATTGCATGTAATAAGGAAAGGATTGTTTCATCAGCTGTATATACAGTAATTAGAGTCTAGAGCTACCAATTTCACTGGCTGGTAATTGGATAAAGTACAACAGTCAGATGAATCATTCTGATGCAAATTATTTTTTAAAAAATTGGAGTGATGTTAATTAAACCTCACCATAGTCATAACTCACTTGGATAAGTATTTTATCTATGGAAGTAATCTTTAATTATAACCAAAATCTTTCCCTCAGAATGGAATCAAAGCAACCTCCTACTTTTAAAAGCAACATATATGCTTTTACTAGCAAGGATCGTATGTTTTACTACCAGGTGATATGGGATGAAAAAAATGGACTAGTTATTACTTTTCCTAAAACTAGCTTGCTGTGTCAAACAATTCTTCCGGTTTGCCGATGTGGCTGCCACGGACGCTGCCATGTCCGATTTCGCACCACTGGGGGACCCTGAAAAGGATCAAAAGTCCCCCTGTAGGGGTGACAAGCAAGGGGGCACACTTGATCACAGGAGGCCAGTAGCCCTTCCACTTGATCCAGGGTAGCCTTCTAAACTGGCGGAAGAAAGACCAGTCATAGAAATATGGCCCGTCACTAGGCTGCAGACAGCTGAAGTCAAACTTACCACCAGGCACCTATAAAGCAGCACGGATGAGACTGGTTGAGATCTGAACCTCTCTTCAATCCTAACTATTTTTTCCACCTGTATAAGCTGCCCAAAGTATTTTCCCCCCTGTGGGAAAGGAAACTCCACCCCATCCTCTAAATACAGTGGCGACTGACTATCCAGGGGGGTTTAAAATGCTGAAAAATAACCTGATTCTAACTGGATTTCTATCTTTCTAAAATTTGAGGACTAAAAGATTTCTTATTCTTATTGAAGATTTGGGTTTTTACTTACAAAAAAGAAGTAAAATTGGAAAAAGGATTATAAAAATTTTGGACTTAAAAAAATCTTAAATTATATAGTTGATGTATTGTGTCTAAACCTGATATTACAACTTGTTATTGTCTAAAAGAGACTTGGCTTGAAGCCCAGACTATAGATAAGACTTTTGAAACCTTGGCAAATATCAGCTGTGAAAAGCCCAGCTGTGTTCTATATTCAATGACAAAATTATTTTCATTCTCTGAGTGTAAAGCTTTTAATTTAATACATTACTAAGAGAACATGGATGAAAATCAGGAACAGATTCTCTTTATGTTGAAAGCAATTTATGAAACTATTCTTATAGCTACTGATAAAATAAGAAGCTACAGAAAAGAACAAGATGTCAGCCTAGATATATGAACCCAAACTTTGATTACTAAAGATCAACTACACAGAATATAATAGAAGTGGAACAATCAAATACTATGATAGAAGATTCAACTGATCAACAAACACAATTAACAGAAACCTGGAAAAGGGACTCACAACACTGAAAATGGAAAAGACTTTCTATATAAACTAGAAGAAACCTGAGGATCAAGAAGAAGAACAGATCAAAGGGAAAAGAAACATTTCAGGACAACTATGTCAAGATGGAAAAATAGAGACGATTTGTTAGTCCTTCCAAAAAAATGGTGACTGGATGGCCTTTTTTTAATCTCAAACAATATATATAATAATAGAGGGAGATCTATTTGATGATTTAAAAGCACGGATATGGAAGGAGAGTTGGCAAAGAAAGAAAGCTAGAATAAGGCTGAAGAAAATTGGAGTTTTGAATTATTAGTGAGGATTAAAATAGAATATACTCAAATAGACAAGATGTGTACTTTGAATACTAGATTTTGTCATGAATTGAGATAAAGAAAACTTTGGTCATTTAAAACTTGGAAGTATAAATATTAAAAGTTAAATTTGAATATTAATTTGTTTATAAAGGTTGAGTGTAAAAGTAATTAAGATATATATAAGCTAAAATCTATTGATAAATGTAATAAACATCTTTTACTTAGCTGATATAATAAGAACTGTACTAGCTTAAATATGAGATAGTAGACATTAAGAGAAAAAGAGAGGAAGTATTTGATGTTGAAACAAGAGGAATTTTGGTTACTAAATTTAAGACATTTGGAAATTAATAGAAAATAAGAATGTTATACTGTATTATTAATTAGATGATATAAGATGGTAAGAAATAGAATATATTCAAATAGATAAGACGTGTATCCTGAATATTAGACTTTGTGATGAATTGTGATAAAGGGAACTTTGGTTACTTAAAACTTGGAAATTATAAATATTAAATGTTAAATTTAAATATTAATGGGAAACTAAAAATTGGGAAAAACTAATTAGGAAACTGATTGTCTATAAAGACTGAATGTAAAAATAATCAGAATATGTATAAGCTAAAAATTATTGATAAATGTAAGAATGTTATTTTAATTTAATTGATATAACAAGAATTGTATTAGTTTAAACATGAGACACTCCCCAAATTTACAATAACATTTAATTTCTAATGAGCTCAGGCTTATTAGCTGAAGTGATGTGATTCTTTATAGATTGCCTGGCAGGACAATGAGCTAATCCTTCTGCCACTCCAAATACAGATTCATTGTACAAAAACTCAGCAGTTTGAGGAAATAAAGTGAAAGACCAGGTATCCTACTGGAGGAAGAGGCACAGCAACAGCTGGCTTATATGTAAATTTCTAATTTGCTATTTCTCCAAGCAGCAGTCGTCATTATTGTTTTAATGAATACATGTCAGTTTGGCAGATATTTTTGTTAGTGTTTTATTGAAAACCAAATTGTCATTTTAGAAACAAGTCAGATAAGATTGAAATACTTGGGACAACAAGATTTCATAATATATTATTTTGTAGGTGTCAAGATAAATCAATCATCAGACTTCATGTCAGGTCCCATAGGTAATCCTAGTTGATTTTTAAAAGCAAACATTTTGGTTTCTTTATAATTCTCAGGCTGTCACAATGTAAAATTCTGCTCAAGCCTAATTAAGACTCTTGTATTTATTGTATAAACATATCCATATTTCTTGTGCATTCTGAATGGGAAGAAATTAGTAAGTTTGCATAAATTTATATTATACTGACTTAATTAAATTGGAATGAAACCTTATTAGGCATCTGCAAATGTTGAGGAAAATGGATTTTAAATAGCAAAGATTAAAAAAAGTTCTGATTAATTTAGAGAATGATGAATTAATATTGTTTTCAAAGTGCAGAACATTTGTTTTAGCCAGCTAGCACTGCTTACTGAGGCCCTGTTAAAATGAAGGGAAATAACCTATAACATGCACATTGTGTATGATTAAATTTTAGAATTTGACAAAAAGGATTAGAGATGGTGGCTACGAACTTGGCTTGGTCTAGGGTGCTTAGTTTCCCAAATAAAACTATTGTTGAGTATCAACTGCACACTGAAGACATTTTACCCTGTGCTGATAAACATCTTTACTCAGCAGTTTCATGTAGATATTAAATAAGAGTGGGGAGAGTGCGGAGCCTTAAGGCACTCATAGAAAATGATGCTAACTAAAACAGTTAGAATCAACCTTGCCTTGCAGGAAGAAGGCGAACCACTGTAAAACAGTGCTCTCTATCCTTGCCCCACTAAGCTGGACCAAAGAATGTCCGGATTGAATGTGCATAATCAAAATAACTCTCTCTTGTTCTTGGTATGTGTGTCATTTTTTTATGTATTCCCATTTTCCTCCCATGGACTTCAGGTTGACTAAAAAAAAGTTTAATATATAAAAGTATACCCATTTTCTACTAATGTGATCAGGTCTTTTACTGTCCTCTGCTGGTAGCAATTTAGTATATTTAGCAAATTGCCTTCAGTCTGATAATAGAACTGTATACTTGCACCACCACATTTATGGAATGCATTCTCCCCCCCTCCAGTAAATTACATATACTAATTCACATTAATCTTTCTCATCCTCATCATGAATTCCAATCAAATAGGTTTTAATCTGGAATAATAAATAATGAAACTTATTTCTTATGGTTTTTTAAAATGAAACAACTCCAGGATAACAGATTTGGGTCAGGTAATGGTTCATTTACGTATATAACTGACAAGTCACGGGCAGTATTATGAACAGATAAAGTGTCATGGTTCTGACAGATGAAACTCTTTGAAAGAACTTCGAGGCATTGTTTACCTTAAAGAATCTTTATTTTGAGTAGCATAA